ATGTGCATGACACATAACTTTATTTTTTTAGCACAATTCTTGAAGGAGTTAGCATTAGTAGACATATTTCGAATTATGAAAGATCGAGATGACAAGTTGTAAGAGCTTTCGGGCTCGATTATTAGCATTTGGTAAGCTATGTATCATGTAACAACCCGGTCCTTAATTAATATTTAATTATTAATTTATTCCAATAAAAGACCACTATACCCCTAGAATATTTTAATAATATAAAAATTGACTTTTTGACCGGGAAGGAATTTTGGGATTTCAGTTATACGATTGCGTAGAGTGCAGCGAGATGAGTCCGTAGACATAGTGGACTCAAATCGGAGTTGTAACGAAGGAGTTACGATTTAAAGAAGTTCAATGGCATAACCGTAAATATTTCGAACTTCAGTTTATATAAACCCATAAATTTCTGGATTCGGGGCACGACCAGCCGACTTTAGGAGCTGTTTTCTCTCATCTCTGACCTCCGATTCAGGCAAGACCAGTGCCAAACGAACCATCAAACTTCCCTCTTCCAGCCCCAGCCTTTCACCACCTCAATCCTCCTCCATAGTCGCCGGAATCCGCCACAAAAGAGGCGGTGCTGGACAGTTTTTGATAGAACTTCCAACCTTTCGTTCTTCGTTGTCCGGCCACCAAATCGGACGAGTGAGGTATGGTTTTCTAGCTATTTTTCATGATCTAGCTGCTGGTTGGGTAGGATTTCAGAGATTTCAAGCGTAGATAATTCGATTGTTTAAGTTAGGTTTCAGCAGATTTTCGGGTCACTGTTTCAGCCACTTCCGGCCAGTTTTTGGGGTATGTCCAAGAACAAAAGTTGTTCAAAATGGGGTATTTTACCTAAGTTAGGAGTTTGGGCCGGTGGTTTGGAGTTTTTCAGATCGCCAGGAATTGATCAAGCCACCCACGCCCTGCCGGCTCGTGTGGCGGCACGTGGGTAGATTGGTAGAAACCACTTTCAGTTCTAGAATGATCCTTGGGTCGTCACGAGAACGTAGGAATTCACGGATCTCAATTTGGTTAACGTTTGAACCCCGAACGGATCTCGCATATTGTGTGATTTTCGGGTTCAATAGTTTCGAACCGTTGGATCGTAAACATTTTCGGATATGGTAATCTAGACTTGGCCAGGATCGTATAGTGTTTGAAGGATCATAAAACGGAGTCCCGGATACTCCAGGAATTCCAACCCTAGAACCAGGTTTACAGTAAACAGTTCAGTTACAGATCAGGAACAGAAAAAAGAACTACGTGTGGCTTGATCTCTTAGTAAGGGTACGTAGGCAGCCTACAATTATCAGGCTCAGCTACGAGTTAAGGGCTCAGGGTTTATGTTATTGTTTATCAGGGTATTTTGGTCTTTTACGACCCACGGTTACCATGTGTCAGTTTGAAACAGGATTCGGCCCGAATTTCAAAGTGGAATTTGGGTCGGGTCGTTTCATATCATGTTAATGGTAACGATGATATTTGGCTGAGATTAAAAGTATGTAACCAATCCTTAACTTAAATACTTATTAGAAAATCTCCGACTATATAATATAGGTGGACCCTATCTTCTATTATATATATGGTGGGTTCCTTAAGTTGTTGGGCTTTGTTGATGCTCTTTTTGGGAGGGTCAACTTAGATAAAGGAGTGTTGGATCTTTAGCCGGGCCTCTATTTATAAGGCAAAAAAGACTTTGTGTGCATTGGGATGAGAAAATGCACGCATGCCCCAATGATTGTATCTGAGTATGAAGATTCAAATAATTGTCCTACTTGTGGTATCTCAAGGTGGAAGGAAGGCAAAGATTCAATCTTGAAAAAGGGTATGCCAGCGAAGGTGGGGTGGTATTTTCCTCCAATTCCAAGGTTTAAAAGGATGTTTCGATCACATGAGACAGCTAAGAGTTTGACTTGGCATGCTGCTAGAAAATCAATTGACGGTTATATGTCTCATCCAGCGGATTCCCCGTCTTGGAAACTTCTTGATGATAAATGGCCCGAGTTTGGTAATGAGCCGAGAAACTTGAGATTGGCTCTGTCATCTGATGGATTCAATCCCCACAGTTCTCTAAGTAGCAGATATAGTTGCTGGCCAGTTATCTTAGTTACATATAATCTCCCTCCATGGCTGTGCATGAAACGAAAGTTCATGATGTTGACCTTATTGATTTCCGGTCCTAAACAACCC